AAACAGGCCAGGGGTGGTGGTTCATACCTGTAAGTAATCCTAGCACTCTGGGAGACTTGAGGCAAATGGATCACCTGAGCTCAGGAGTTTAAGACCAGTCTGAACAAGAGGGAGACCCCCCCTAACCCCCTACTAAAAATTGAAAAAAAAAAAAAAAAGCTAGGCATTGTGGTGGGTGCTTGTAGTCTCAGCTACTTGGGAGGCTAAGGTAAGAAAATCGCTTGAGGCCAGAAGTTTGAGGTTGTTGTGAGCTGTGACACCATGGTACTCTACTGAGGGCAACAGAGTGAGATTCTGTCTCAAAAACAAACAAATCACCCTCCACTTTTCCTTTCCTTTGTAATCATTCATGTGTTCTTTCAGGATGCAATTTATTTATTTAAATTAAAAAAATTTTTTTTGAGACAGAGTCTCACTGTCACTTTCAGTATGTTGTCAGCATCATAGCTCACAACAACTTCAAACTCTTGGCCTCAGGTGATGCTCTTGCCTCAGTTTTTTCACCAGCTTGAGCTCAGGCTAGTCTCAAACTTATGAGCTCAAGCAATCCACCTGCCTTGGTTTCCCAAAGTGCTGGGATTACAGGTATAAGCCCCAGCGCCCAGCCTCAAGATGCAGTTTATTTGTAATCTTGCCTGAAGTGAAAAAAAAAAAAAGCTGACATTGAAAGCTTTGTTGATATTATTATATCTTTACCGCCACTTTCTCTTTTTCCCTAGAGCATTTCATTTTAGAAATTTAGATACCACTCTTGGTCCTATTAATGATCTCTGTTATACAAAGTGCAGTTTGGGGCAGTGCTTGTGGCTCAGTGAGTAGGGCCCCGGCCCCATATACTGAGAGTGGTGGGTTTAAACCCACCCCCAGCCAAACTGCAACAAAAAATAGCTGGGCGTTGTGGCAGGTGCCTGTAGTCCCAGCTACTCAGGAGGCTGAGGCAAGATAATCACCTAAGCCCAAAAGCTGAAGGTTGCTGTGAGCTGTGACGCCACAGCACTCTCCTGAGGGCGATAAAATGAGACTCTGTCTCTTAAAAAAAACAAGACAAAACAAAAAAAACCAAAGGGCAGTTTGGTGCAGGCAATTCTCACTTAGGTTCCTGCCTAGGTAAGATCTGTAACACAAAAGGAAGAAAAAAAAAACACCCCAAAACGAATGAACAAACCTATCCCAATCCTGAGGGGAAAGGGGAAGAACAACAAGAGACTGTAGCTAAGATCATTCCATTAATGATCAGAGTTTGTTTCCAAGGAGGTGGAAATAATGCCTTGTATAAGGATATTTAGTAAAGATTGCTATTTTCCAATCTATTACTCAGTTTCCCCTTAGTTACAGAATTCCAAGTTTTTCAGACTTAAACTGTGCACAGCTGAATGCCTACATTTTCACTCCTTTGTGGCTACGTTAGATGAGGTTGCCTTGTACCTAAATTTTGACCAATGAGTTCTGAGTGGAATTTCCTTTATTTTTTTGAGACAGAGTCTTACTTTGTTACCCTTGGTAGAGTGCCATGGTGTCACAGCTCACTGCAACCTCAAGCTCTTGGGCTCAAGAGATTCTCCTGCCAGGCAGCACCTGTCTCAAAGGAGTAGGGCGCTGGCCCAGGCTAGTCTTGAACTCCTGAGCTCACACAATTTACTTGCCTAGATCTCCCAGAGTGCCAGGATTAGAGGTATAAGCCACTGCCCTGGCCTGTGAGTGGAATTTGTTGGGTGAATCCATCAGAAAGGATCCTTAAAAGGAGATGCTGGGGTCCAACCTTCTGTCCTTCCCCTTTCTTAGAAAGGAGTTGAGATGGCCAGTGGAAGCTATTATGGACCATGAAGCAGTTTTGTAGAAGAGCCTACATCTTTGATGACTTCTTAGAATTGTCATCTCATCCCTGGACTGCCTACCCTAGTGTTTAAGTTTCTGTGTTTATGACACTGTTGTTGAAGGAACTGTGACTGGATCTCTGTTGCTGAAATATGAATGCATCTAATAGCTGGCTCAAAATGGTTTCATCTTAACCCACTTTGGTTGCCGACTCCAACCAATATGTAGGTCTAGATTGTGGTGCGTCTCAGGATGACTGTGAAGTAGACTTGGGAAATTTATTCAAGGGAAATGTATATTTATGGTACCCTGATATTGTAGAAGACATCTTGAGCTGGCTGGAAGGATTTGGGACAGACTTAGTCAACTGTAATCTAACTCCTTAAGTCACTGAGTACTACTTATAGTGGCTACCTAAAAAAAAAAGAAAGACACCTGTCCACCTTCCTTCCATTAAAGGAAGGTGATAAACTTCTTTTTATCTCCCAACCTTGGTCTCAATCCTGGATGCTCTCACAGCCAGGTAGTATTCTGTAAGGAGGTAGCTGATGGCAGATGTGATGTTAGAGGTATCTCTACTTGGCTGCTGCTGTCATTCCCCACTCCCCCATGATATTCATTTATTCTAAAGGGCATTTCCTAGGGGTCACTGTAAGAAAGTATCTGTAAGCATGAACTACACTGAAGCAGCCTAACTGGGGTCATTTTCCTTTTAGGGATTTTGTTCTCGCTTGATCAAGCCCTTTCGTTATGGTGACTGAGTCATTACTGAATCCTGTTGCTTCATCCTTCAAAATGCCCTTTTCTTTCATTTCTCGTAGATTCTACCCTAACACTGGCTCACAGCATCCCATACAGAGACCAATGCAAAGTTTCCTAACCAGCCTGCCCTCATGATGTCAGTGCCACACTACTTTGCCTGAAAAACCACTTTCAGTGTGCCTCACCTCAGCTAAACTATTACCAACCATAACAAACCCATGCTCCTGTTTGAGTTTTTTGTTTTTTTCTTTTGAGACAGTGTTCCCCTCTGGAGTGCGGAGCTGCAATCATAATTCACTGCAGCCTAGAACCCCTGGGCTTCAGCAATCCTCTCCCTTTAACCTCCCAGGAGCAGGACTACTGCTATTCCTGATTAATTAAAAAAAAATTTTTTTTTCAGACAAGAGTCTCACTTTTTTTTTTTTGGAGACAGAATCTCACTTTGTCACCCTGGATAGAGTGCCGTGGCGTCATAGCTCACAGCAACCTCAAACTCTCCAGCTCAAGAGATTCTCTTGCCTCAGCCTCCTGAGTAGCTGGGACTACAGGTGACGGTCACAATGCCTAGCTATTTTAGAGACCAGGCTCAGGCTGGTCTCAAACTGGTGACCTCAGAAATCTACCTGCCTTGGTCTTCCAGAGTGCTAGGATTAGAGGCATGAGCCACCAAGCCCAGCCTAAAAAAAAATTCTTTATAGAGATGAGGCCTTGCTATGTTGCCCATGTTGATCCTGGTCTCAAGCTCTCATTTTGATTTCCCGAAGTTCTAGAATTACAAGTGTGAACCACTGTGTCAGGCTTTGTCTGAATTTTAAGGACATTCTTAACCTGGTCCCACCTGATTTTCCTTCTTCATCCCAACCCACGCCCTTAGTTACACTCTTCTGACCAAGCCTCAGGTCTTTCTGTTGTGAAGCTGTGCTCAGGCTGTTCCTCCTGGCCTGTCTGCCCATTCTGATCACCTGAAGCCAAGCCATCCTTGGGAGGGCTGTATAGGGGATGGAAGAAAACAACAGAAACTCTTCATCCAATAGCTGCCACCTGATTCCTTCCATATGGTTCTGGAAGGTGACAGTGTGAAACTTTCCTAATTTCTGTATAACAAGGATTTGAACAATTCAGAATTGTTCTTAATTGTTAAGAAAGCATTTGATATTTACAGCTTATTTTTACTTTTTTTTTTTTTTTTTTTTAGACAGAGTCTCACTTGGTCACCGTTGGTAGAGTGCGTAGCATTTTAGCTCACAGCAACCTCAAGCTCTCAGGTTCAAGTGATCCTCTTGCCTCAGCCTCCCAAGCGGCTGGGACTACAGGCGCTCGCCACAATGCCCGGCTTTTTTTGTTTTTTAAGAGCTTATTTTTAGACTGCAAGATAGGATAGGAAAGAATTCTTTTATATTCTCTTCTGCAGTTGGTTCATATAAGTCACTCTAAATACAGAAAACTTTTTTTTCTTCTTGCAGTTTTTGGCCCGGGCCGGGTTTAAACCCACCACCCCGGTATGTGGGGCTGGCGCCCTACACCTTAAGCTACAGGCGCCGCCCTAAATACACAAAACTTGATGGCAGGGCTTATAGTCAGTAAAGCATGAACGTTGGGTTCTTGTTTTGCCTCTTTTTCTTATTAATCGTGTGACCAGAGCAAGCTGCTTAACCTGTGAGACAATTTCATTAACTGGTGTTACCAGGAGTCAAGAATACCAACCCTAAGGATAGAAAAAGATAAATGTATGGAAATTCTGTGGTGCGGTCCCAGCACTTCGTAGGCGTCCAATAACACCATTGTTAGACAGCCAGTGGGGATAAAGTCTGGTGCCCGCGCTGGCTGTGGCCTGGAAGAGGTCCCAAGGTCAGTTTACTTGCAAAGGAAAGTCACTGGGGCATGCGGCGAGTGGGCTAACTATGGGTTAGGTTAGACCGGCACTGGTCCTAAACTCTCCGCTAACACGCTCGCTGGGCGGCGTTGACTGGTGGCTAGGCCTTGTCTACCCTAAGAACGGTCCCTCGGACCCCGCGGGAGGTCTCCTGTTCAGCTGCCGCCCCTGCGCCGCCGGAAAAGAGCGAGAGGCCCCTGTAGTTGCAGCCGAACCACCCCGCGGGCGCCTGGCAGGGGGTGGAGACGGGGTGGGGATAGGGGTGGGGCCGCGGAGTCGCGGGCCATACCAATTCTACGAGGGACAGGGGCGGCCTTCCCTCGGCGACTCTCCACAGAAATTCGGCAAATGGCACGGAAGTTGCCGCGATGGCGGACAAACTTGAAGAGCCCTATTTACCATACCCTGGGCAGGGTGTGCGACAAATACAGGTGGGACAGACCGCGGGGAGCCCCGTGCTCCCCGCCTTCTTGGGCGCGGCAGGCTCGGGGGCGGGGCATAGCGGGGGCGGGGCGTAGTGGGACGGGCTGTGGTTGTCCTTGCGGCGCTGCCGGGGACGCCGAGCAGTCTGGGCTCTCGGCTGTATAAGACCGGTCGCAGTTGGAGAAGGCCCGAGGGCAGTGCCGAAGTAGCATCAGCACCATGCTGTCCCGAGCAGCATGCAGGTGAGAGGCTAACGCCCTTGGCGGAAACGCGAGCACCGCTCCGAGGACGAAGGGGAACGCAGCCGGCAGGGCCTCCCGGGCTATGGCGACAGTGGCGGCGCCGGGCCTGGAGGGCTCGGAGTACTTGCGGGCGGTTCTCCTGCAGGTGCCGGGCGTGGCGGCTGGGGCAGGGGTCCGCTAGGAGGGGCTGCTGAAGCCACGCGTGTGCCGTGGACGGCAAGCGGCGTTTAGGGAGCCGGCGAATCCACCAAGGGCGCTGCGTGCTTGGTTCCTTTGCAGTCCCGCGTGAGAGGACAGGCTCGGCCGTGGCGGACTCACCCTCTCTGTTTTCTGTGTCTTCCAGCACGAGCAGGAGGCTGGCGCCAGCTCTGGGGTGTCTGGGCTCCAGGCAGAAGCACACCCTCCCCGACCTGCCATACGACTATGGCGCTCTGCAACCCCACATTGACGCCCAGATCATGCAGCTGCACCACAGCAAGCACCACGCGGCCTATGTGAACAACCTGAACATCGCGGAGGAGAAGTACCAGGAGGCCGTGGCCAAAGGTAGGTGCTGAGCCGCAGAAAGCTGGCCCGCGGCAGGTGTGACAGTGAGTAGCTGTCCATAGAGACATGCCCCTTCATCAGAACATGTTTATGCCAGTTCTGAGTTTTCCAGGCACGAAAATCTCTCTTTCTGAAATAAGTATCTGTCTCATTGTAGAATGAGTTTCTTGATTGGTTTGTATAAACTTATTTTATTATCTCAGAAAACTTAAGATCTCGTAAAGGAACTTGTATATGAATTTTACTATTGTAAGTCACATTTTTCATTACTCATCTTGCTAGCATTGAATTGTAGAGCCTTTGAAGAAAGCTCTATATGTAACTTGTTTTTGCAAATTGGCAATTGAAATTTTTCTTGTTATGTGATGTTCTTGGAAATGTTTGGTCGATTAGTTCTGCTAACCATTTGCTGAAGAGCTCAGAGTGCCTGTCCACTTTGACCCAGTCACCATCAGGTATGCAGGTGTCCTTGAGGGTGAGGGTAACCTGATGAAAGTAGCAGTGGGGCTTTGCTGTCAGCAACCAGAGTGAGCATGTATGGGCAGCAGGTGGGAGCACCTGCAGCCTTCCCACCTCCTTTTCCAAGTGCAGCACAACTCTTGAGCTGACAGCCTTAGGCTACTGGTCACACCAACAGGAGCCTGGCTGTGATGGGAACTGGGGAGGAGGCAGGAGTCAACATTATGATGTTCATTACCAAAAAGCAATTAGCTAATTGTGGAGCACTTCAGGCCCTTAAGATTTGATACTTTTCTTGAATCAATTTAGGGGTTAAAGTTCACATGGTCATTTTGTGGGAAACAAACAGGCTTGTGTCTTATCTGTTTACTAATATTTATAAATCCATTAAGCTATAATATGGAGTGAACGAATTTTTTTATTATTTATTTATTTTGAGACAGAGTACTTTGTCGCCCTCAGTAGAGTGCCGTGACATCACAGCTCACAGCAACCTCAAACTCTTGGGCTCAAGTGATTCTCTTGCCTCAGCCTCCTAAGTAGCTGGGACTACAGGCACTTGCCACAATGCCCAGCTATTTTTAGAAATAGGGTCTCACTCTTGCTCAGGCTGGTCTTAAACTCCTGATCTGAAGCTGTTCACCTGCCTCAGCCTCCCAGAGTGCTAGGATTACATGCGTGAGCCACTGTGCCCAGCCAGCTAATGTTTTTTTAGCAGCTTGGTGACAAAACCACACTTCGTGTGGACTTTTTGTGTTTGTGCCTTGGGAGGTATGTATGGAAATACTGTTCTAATGTGTCTGTGCAAAATAGAAGCATCCTTTTACATCTGTTAGTTGTTTGCACAAGGAAAATAATTGACAGTCATGTTCCCAGACTACTGTATTGCTTGATAAGCTATCAGTAAAAAAAAAAAAAAAAAAAAAA